ACATTTTTATGAGGTAATCCAGGTTACCATCATCGGAATTATCTTTATGGCCTGATGCTTCCATAGAACCAACCGCCTGTTGGAACCAAAGCAAATTACGTTCGGGGCTCGTTTGATAAAATTCGATGTCATTGTGCCCCCAAGGTAATGTTTTAGCCGTATTAGGTATGATAAATCGCTTGTCGTCATGATATGAAAGGGCGACTTTGTTCCTCATTTCAGTATAGATATCATGTCGCTCGCTGCGGAAACTACACATTTTTCTGAATATCAAACCACCCTTTTCAACAATTTTCTTATAATCGTCTAAAGTTAATTGACTTTTAACGACTGCTCTAGACACACCCTTTGCTTTCTTCAATTCGCTGCTCAAAGATTGAACATAGTATGCTTTGGCACCGGTTCCATAGAAACTTACAATAGGGTCATTCGGGAATTCATCCTTCATATTTCCTACTACGGATTTTGTAATTGGGATATTAAATTTATTATCTGCGGGATAATTAGATGTGTCGAAATAGCTTATATTTTCCTTCATGAAATTGTAGAAGTTTTCTGTTTCTATCTTCAATATCAATGAATCTGTGTCCGTGTACAGTAACTGTGATTTCTCGACATAATTTTTCTTAATACATTCATATAAAAAATTATATATAACAACTTTCGACACATCTAATATACTGAAACCTAAATAAAGCGGTTTATCGTAATGTACCCTCACTCTACCCATATGGATAGCGACAAAATTTTCGTGGAATACCTTACAGGTTTTGAAATTTGGGAGTGCTATCAACACATTGGCACCCTTTTTCGATTTTATACTCTCCCAATGGGTAACAAGTTTGATATCACTCCTTTTATCTACATTTTCCATCGTTTTACCATAAACTGAGTTCACCATATTCTTGTATAAACACTTGTCGGCTTTGTTTTTACTTTTGTTACGCATCTCTGTATTGAGGTCAACGTATTTTTTCAACCATGGTGATTGAAGAAACTTCAAGGCCCTATGGATTTTAACCAATACCAAACCATTTTCAATAGCCTGTTTCAGATTTCTATAATGAACGATATATTTAATTTTGTTGAAAAGATTAGGAATCAGTTTTTTCAGCTTAGAAGTCGAACCAGGAGGGACAATGGATTCCACGAGGAAAGGGAGGTCTGAGTGGACATCATGTAATTCTTGGGGGTAGTACACATCCACTTCGAGTACATACCCACATGGGCTATCATCTGCAACACTCATTATATCTAATTCGCTAATTTCCTGATTAGTTAACCACTTGGAATCGGAAGTGGGTAGCGGTTGTGACATACTATGCCCATATAAGTTAGTCGCATCTAAATACATTATGAATGATGAAGGCTCGCTTGGATTGAAATTTGGGAGGAACTGATTGTTTGCTACATGGCTCCTCAAGCTACATTGGCTTATCCCCCCTCTTATGCCTTTTTTGAAGAAATTTATCATGTCAATGTCGGTCAACAACTCCAATTCGATTTTCGTATACCTCAACATAGCATCCCACGATAAACCGGGTGCTGTATAATATTGGCACGGATCTAACTTATACGTTTTCAAACAAACCTCCCGAAAGTTCTCGAACACATCGCATAATAAAAGAACATCCGATTTCAAATAAGCGTCTGAATAATCCCCTAGCGTTTTACATTCGAATAATTTCCACACGTGCTCAGCTCTTCGATAATCCTCATCTGAAATGTGCCTATTAGATAAATTATCGTAAAAATCATTTTTAGTCGGTAAATTTTGATTGTCGAGTTTATCTATGGAGGTTACGAAGCTATATGGGAAAACACCTTTCTGTGTCATATATTCGAATTTTTCGCGATCTGGAAAATATCTAGCCGTTTCGACAAACTGATCTGTATTCAAATTCCCGGCTAATGATTGAAGAGGTTGTGCGAGAAATTTGTAACTATCTAAGAATCGGAGTTTCAGGAAGATATTATGATTTTGACCATTTTTCCCCAAATATTCACCAACTAAAATGTGCTTAGTAAATGAAATATATTTTTCCTTAGTTTGTGCGACACAATCAACTTTCTCTTCGCGATCAAATAATTGCTTTATGAATAGATGGCTATCATAGCCGCTCATATTGTGAAAGAAAATTGGTATGAAATTCGGGATTTTGTAATTCAAATTGCATGCTGAATGTGCTGCCCCAAATCTTTTTTTACCCGTCAAATGACAGTGATCTCTCACTTTTACATCACCTAACCGGAATGGTTTTTCGCAAATGCCACACTCGGTAGCATTAGCAAAATCGGCTTCTTCTACTTTCGTTAATTTTCTCATTGGAACTACGTTCTTCAGATATAAGTCATATATTTTTTTCGAATCATTTACTATACTAGATACAAATTTCTTCGCCGCATCTTTTCCGCGGAATGTAACAAATTTCGTGATGGAATTGTCGTAGGAGCATTTGATGAGGTATGCGAATGAGTATGGTTCATGCACAAATGTTCTATTAGTATAGGATTTCTTCGGGTCCGGCTCACTAGTGTGTATCGGCTTCAAAACTGATTCGAAATCCGCATATATAACAAAAGGTACCATCATTTGTTTCTCAAAATTCTCAAATTTCAAAATATTTTCAGGTACTGAATTTCCAAATTTATCTACTTTGACTGCTGTAGTTGGTGTTGTCGTAAATGTGTGATTACAGTCGCTCAATTGATGACGTAATAGCTTAGCCTCATCCGAAAAATGTATCAAACACCCATCGCAGAAAAATTTCTTATGCCCGTTCGAGGACATTTGGGCGGACACCAATCTAGATAAATGTTTTATCCAACAATAGTGGCTCTCACCCGAATCATTCGTTATAAGGAGCAAGTTCACATGTTTACTCATTCTTTTCTTCGAATAATAGAGTGGGCCGACAACGTGGTATTTAACTTGTTGATTTTCTATTACGCTTTCCAACCCATAAACGTTGATGGAGCAATCATTGAGTATTTCAAATTTTGGAATTTTACTCACTTTCATAGGAAACTCTATACCACTCAGATTCAAAACTGTAGAGAAGTGCGGGTATGAAGATATCTCACAATGTTTGGCCCTTGCTGGATATAGGGCGGACGTCACGGCCCAAGCAAAACAGCATTCATCCTGATTCACCACATTCACTACCGCCCTCTTATTGTCTATGAAACTAGGTAGTTTGATGTAGGAACACCCACGTAGCGGACTGTATTTATTGATGTTTATTTCGAGAAATAGTATTTTCTCTAGAGCCCAACCTGTAACAATAGAAAAGTGATTGTTTTATTTATTCAAAGAATTGAGTTATATAGGTGTGATAATGCAGATATTCAAATCATTCTCAACTCACCGGAATCGCGTTCCTCAAATTCAGTTGTTTGGTTCACGATGATGTCTTTGAATGTATCGATGATGGCATCCAAATCAAGGGATGAATCTACGATGTGATTCGGTGTCGCAAAGGATTTGATGTCGTGAAGATCCTGAGATTGTAGAATATATCTACCGAATACTTCCATATTAACCTTGATGGTGTGGTGAATCGACAGCATATTCCCCAATAGGGATGATAAAGTCACCTTATTTTCGGTAAAGAACGTGTTATAATCCAAGACATCCGTTCTACATTCCAATCTATAACTGATAATGCGACACTTGAATGCGTTTTCGATAACATATACACCATCTCTATAATTAACGCAAGCGTTCGAACGATGTTCCAAAGTCCTTTTGTGGGCAGCCATTTTATCGATTGGAACGGTTTTATTGCAAACGGTACACGCTTGCATGTTGCCAGACGTTGATGCTTGATGAATAGTGTCACTCAACCGCGGCCTCTTCGACATTGGTGGATCGAGATTTCCCACACACGACTTTTTTTGGTGGCGACGTAAATTGTCACTGCGGGTGAAAGATTGGCCACAAACGCAGGTCAACATGTTTATCACTCGCGAAAAGAAACGATAGAGTTGAACGATCGACGATGTCAGGAAGACTACAGTCTGGGCATGCAGAAATCGGATTTATAGAAGAGGGGAGTCGTGGCGTAGCCTCACCCCACTACACCATCAAACAGCCTTGGGAAGAAGAACACATGCGCACGAGAGTGGATACACTCAACCCAAGGCCACCACGACAATTGTCCGAGATGAAACCTCCGTATCCCTCCCAAGGTCACTCCCAAGGTCACTTCTAAGACCACTCCCAAGGTCACTCCCAAGGTCACTCCCAAGGTCACTCCCAAGGTCACTCCCAAGGTCACTCCCAAGGTCGCTCCGAATGTCACTCCTCCAAGGCCACCCCCCAAGGTAACTCCCCCCAAGGTCACTCCCCCCAAGGTCACGCTCCTCTGGCCTTGGGGGGAGATTTGGAAATGGCTAAAGCCCTCTACTAAAATATCATAATTTATTTTCATTCTTCATCAAGTTTATCTAGAAAAATGAGAGAAAATTATTCATAGAGTAGAATTCCAGAATCTATTATATCCTATTGCTGTTATGATATAGTTATGAAATATTTGAAGAACTATATCAGGAAATGCAGACATATCGATGATGCTGGCAATGACGTACTGACAAAGGGAATTGTATTTCATTTTTGTGTGAATGTGGCTTTTCATAAAGTACGTCATTGGAAAGTTCTGTTTCCATGAATTTTTTTCTGAACTGGAATTTGGCGTTACGAAACAAAATGAGAAATACTTATATATTGTATTTTTACTAACTTGACAGTGACATAAAAACCTCAATATTGCAAACTTTTGCATGCCCCATTTTGCGCGATCTGCCAAGTGTCCAGCTAGGACCAATATATACAACCAAGGATACAATAAAAAATTCTTCCTTGCAGGATTTCGACAAGGATGTTACAAGGTCACCTAGTATATTTGTAGAATAGTTTCCTCTGCATTTTTATACCTATTGATCACGCCGCTGACAAATGGCCCTGAGCACATCGTGATGCCAGCCAAGATGGACCCCACCCAGGCCACTTTGCCTTGAGATGCGCCGTAGTACTTGGCGAGATCATCAAGAAAGATTCCAAAGCAGTAGGAGACGCCGTCCACGACCATGTTGCACATGAACGAGGCGAAGACGACCACCCAGCCGTAGCCGCCGTCTGGCGGACCAGGTATGCTGTTCGCATCGCTTTCATTCGCTTCATCGGCTTTTGCATTCGCCTGAAACATGAATAACGGTTGATTGAAAACACAGATCTCTCCGCGAGATCTCTCTGATAGGATCATTTCTGAACTCTTTCCAAGAGATAGTGTGGATGGATCTCTCTCAAGATAGGTGGAATTATATATTGATAAGTAGGTTGCAATTTGTAACAACAATTTTAGAACAACAATAATTGCTACTCATCTAGCCTATTCTTGAATTTCCAGAAATGTAATTGTATAACTTTCATCAGAAACTCCAATCCAGTGCACATCGACTATCACACAGGAGGTAGAGTTGACGATATAATGGACCTGGGCGTTATACAGGGTGTCCCTGAAAGGTCTGTACAAACTCCCAGCACATATTCCTGAGGTCATAATAAGTCGATTCGAAGCAACTTACATCAGTTTGAAATCGCTCCGTTTCCGAGAAACAGTGTGGTAAAGTTGAAAAATAAATTTCGATTTTTTTTAAATTCATGGACGTTTTTCCACGGATAACTTTGAAAATTGAAAATGTTATACTGTTATCTTTGTGGATGTATTTTGATCAGTGAATAATTAGTTCAGATTTTTTTTTCAAAATACAGTTTTGGAGTATACGTAAGTATCACATTGAAAAATCCTCGTATTTATTTGTAACCTGTTTGGTGAACAGGTTTAGGAATGTTTTTTGCAACATCAGACTAATCAGTTGAATTTCAGCAGGCAACAATTTTTCACTTTGGTTAGTTACAGTAAGTTTTGCTGAAAGAATTTGAGTATGGATTAATTTCTTGATCAATTGGAAAACAATGTTATTCCGAAAGTGAATTCAATTATCATAAAATTCAAATACTTGATTGTTTGAAATGACCTCCGTTAACATGGGTGTAAAGATCAATCAGACGTGAAAACTTTGAAAGTACCCTTTGCATCAATTCCGTTTCGTTCATTCCCTCTGCCAATTCATCTGTTCGGATACTGTTGATGCAAATAATAGCAGACATTCAAAACAAAATGTTAGATCACTGTCATGCATGAATCACATATCTCGTCGAAGTTGAAATGGCAAATCGTCTAATGAATCTGGCACCAAATTGTGGTCAAGGAAATAATTTTCCAAACAATTTTGAGCAAAAGACGTACCTACGCTTGTATCGAAAGAAAAGGTTTCAAAAGAAGACCGGAATCGGAGAAAGAAAAGGAAACCCGATAAAAAAGATATTGTTTTGATCACCGATAGCACTTTTCCTGAAGGAAGATGGAGTGGTACGAATCGTAAAAAAATTGGCTGGTACATTTAGAGGATCGGTGATGAAAGTTTGTGAAATGGATGTGAGAAAGGTTGAACAAGAATCCTCAGGGGAAATGAGAGTTGAGTGAAGAAGTTTCACTAGGGGGAAGAAATGTTGAAGAGATATTTGTCAGTTATTGATGGATATCGAAAATACTCCTTGACAATTATTGTTGTTGTTATGTGGTGATGTGACAAATGAAAAACAGGAATGAAATGTCATTGAAAAGTCGAAAAATCGATGATAATATTCTCAAGAATTATTCTTTAGAAAGAGTGATATTTTCAGTGTGAGTGAACATTTAAATTGACTGTAAAGATCACTGAAGGATATAATTCTGCAGAAATGACGGATATGCTAGTGGTTTTTGGGTATTGTGATGGAAATGGCCGAGAAAGTGTTAGGGTATTCAGGGAAAGATATAAAAAGTTTACTCCTTCAACTGTCAATTATGGACGGCAACGGGCGATAAGGACTCCTGAGGCTAAGGAACAAATTCTGGAAAGAAACGCTGAAAATCCAAAATTGAGCACCAGACGTTTCAGTTCAGATCCTACCTCTGAACCGAAGCGTATCCAAAAATGTAGTTCATAGAACATTGAAAGAATAGCAGCTTTATCCATACCACATCCAGAAAGTAAAAGACCTTTTGCCTCCGGATTTCGATCAACAATTGGATTCCTGTCGATTCCTCACCGAACGAAGACAACAAAATGTGAATTTTACTCAGCAAATTCTATCAACAGACGAAGCATGTTTTACAAGAAGTGATGTAACTAACTTACATATCGAACATGTCTATGCTGATGAAAATCCGCATGTCAGGAAAGTAACCCATTATCAACATGAGTTCAAAATGAATGTGTGGGCACAAATCATTGGCAATTTTATTATTGGTCCTGTCGTTTTACCGCCACGACTAAATGGTGTGGATTATTTAGAACATCTACGAAATACGCTGCCTGGGTTCTTAGAAGATTTGCCATTACAACTTCGACAAGATATGTGGTTTATGCATGATGTTGCTCCACCACATTTTCCTTTAGCCGTCCGAAATTTTTTACATCAAAACTATCCAAACAGATGAGTCGGTAGAGGAAATGACGCTTCTGTAAACTGGCCGGCACGCTCACCGGATATGACTCCGTTGGATTATTTTTTATAGGGGTCTTTGGAAACCATGGTTTACTCTGATAAATAATGTAGAAGAGTTGTGAGAAAGAATTCAAAATTCTGGGGACATATTGAAAAACGATAAGGAATTTATGCGAAGTGTACAATGGAACTTTTTACGTCGTATAAATCTTTACACGCATGTTAACGGAGGTCATTTCGAACAATTACTCTAAGTTTATGATAATTGAATTCACTTTCAAAATAAAAGTGTTCCCAATTCAATTCGAAAATAATTCATACCTGCCCAAATTCTTCCTACAAAACTTTCTGTAACTATAACCTGCTGGAAATTAACTGATAGTGAGAATTCTTAAAATGAGCGGAATGTTTACGTTTCAATAGTATCGGACAGGTAACAAATACGAGGATTCTTCAATGTTTTAGAAAGAATCATCCCATAGTGATTTTTCACTGACCAAATTACATCCACGAAGATAACAATTAACTTTTTTTTTCCACATAATTTGAATATTTGGATGCGTCATCGAACATTAAAAACCGAAATATCTCGAAAACGGCTTACATCAACGGATTTCTACAAGAGTATCTTTCTTGCTGAAAAGCGTACATACAATTACTTCCGCAACAAAAAAAGTTGAAAACTACACTGAGAAAAAAGTTATGACCATTCTTAACCATAAGAAGTGCATTGGTAGGCGCCCTCTAATGGTCACAGTGAAAAGATGTCTGTATTCGGGTATCGCATCCCAAGAAAACTCAGAATGCCAATTTTCAAAGTTTTCCGTGAAAAAAGATCCATGAATTTCGAAAATATCGAATTTTATTTTTCAACTTTACCACACTGTATCTCGGAAACGGAGCGTATTGGGACTGAGGTAAGTTGCTTCAAATCGGCTTATTATGACCTCAGGAATATATGCTAGGAGTTTGTACAGACCTTTCAGGGACACCCTGTATATTACTCCAAACGGATTCGATCTACATGTAGAATCAATTGCAACCTCCGCCTCGCGAATGTTAGGCTATGTACTGAGAACTCGTAGATATTTTGATAATATCAAGCCTTCAATATGTGTTTATTATGCATATGTATTCAGTAGACTCAATTTTGCTTGTAAAGTTTAGTGCCCACGAAACGTACATAAGCCGTCTGGAAAACAATAAGTTCATCAAATATATTACAACTGGAATCGAGGATTTGATAACGCCAGAAAACAATTCGGATTCATATCCCTGTCAAATAGAACAGAGATTTCGGATATATTGCTCTCACATGAAATTACGACCAGCACCACAGACAATCCTAACCTAATCAAATTCGGATGAATGTTTCTGGTAGGCATCTAAGAGCAAAATATTCATTTCACATATCGTTTGGGCGAACAAATTCGTTCCAGGATCCTCCTCCATGTAGAATTGTTGAATACAATGCTTAAATCGATATTTTCTCAGCATCCCAACGAAAAATTAAACAATTCCCCTTATAGTTAATACACTTTTTCCCTTCGAATGTAGTGTTATAGACAAGTCACTAGCTCTCATTGATGATTATGGAAATGACGAGGAAAATGTTGATAAAGACATTTCTATGGAAATAATTGGAACTACAGAAACAGTTTCAGCTGATAGTGATGCTGTTTCTGATTGCTCTCTCTCAAATGATGATCATTTTGACCATGGCAGTGAAAGGGATTTCACAATGCAAAATATCTGATGAACCCATGATAGAAGTGCATACTAATAGTCATAATTTTGTACAGCAAAAGCCTAATGAAGTGTTAAAACAGCCTGAATGCAAGGACTTGAAAATACAATTGGGTGCGATTGGTCTATATTACATAACATATATCATTCAGCTTTGAGGGGATTGTTAAAAATTTCAAAACCTCATTCCGAGAGTTTACCCAAAGATACCAGAACTTTACTTCATACTCCTAGACAGACCTTAAATAAAACGTTACTTCCTGGAGAGTACTTAATATTGGCTAAGGCGAGCTACAATTTTCTTATTGTACAATACATCCCAAAAAGACATCAATAAACGTGAGAATTGTGTGAATATCACCACCAAGTAAGAGTTCTGGCAGTCAATTTGATAGAACTGCATTTATCATGCGAACAAAAAATTTTTGCTCTGATAATGTGTTATTTATTCAAAAATGCACTCAGAAATTTCGGACAAGTTGAAGGTATATTTTATATATCGAATTTTCATGATGAAACTTTCGACTTCACTTCATATAATAATTATTATCATTATAAGTTGTAGGTAATAGTGAATTTCACAAAAAAATGATCTGTAGAAGTTGTTCCTGATATATGGCTAGCTGAAAATAAGCAGTATCATTGGCCACCTTCATATAGGAAACTCAAATCAGCAATAGCTGATCATTATGAAGTTGGGAAGGATCTCGTAAGGATAATAAAAAAGAATAGACAACAATGTGAAGCTTATTTTTGGTTGAATTTCTGAAGGATATAATTTGAAATTTTTTAACCTACGTGATTCTTTCTATTCAAAATTTCAAGTGACGATTTCTAATTTTCTTATTTGGCATGTGAAATGCAGGGTTCTAAGCACTACACCCTGTACATATAAAGTGTATTCAA